TATTCCTACCTCTAAACTCTATACTTAATAGTAAGACACCTTTCCTTCAGGGAAAGACTATATCCTGTCCAAGGAAATTGTTGTATTATGAAACTAAGATTAAATTAGTGCTCTGAAGTGTTGTTTAATATTACATTTTTGTCTTCAAGTGATACAGGAAACAGATTCAGTCTAAAAGCCTACCAACATGCCTTCATTTAGGCCTTGGAATCTGTCCTCATTTTCTTTTTATCATTGCTCTCCATAAGGCAGTAGAACAGTGTGTGCTAGGGATGTCGCTCAATGGCACAAGTGCCTGCCTGGCAAGTACAAGGTCCCAAGTTTGATTTCTGGTACCAAGTGGGGAAAAAAGCATGAGATCAGTTTTGGACCAAGGAGATACCTCATTGGTATAAGTTCCTGCCTAGCAATCTAAACATCCTAAGTTTGATCTCCTGTACCAAAAGAAAAAAAATTGCAAAATATGCAGTAGAAGATTTCCAACTAGTCTTCCTGTACACTGATATGTCTGCTTAGATAATTAAAGATTTAGAAGCTTAGAATAATATTGGTGCAAGTCTCTACAGCACTTAGAGACTTTACCCACTTCTTACTTTTGTTCATATTTGCAAAAATGGAGTCTTAGGGTGATTTATCCAGACATGCACAGGAAATTACATGGGGCAAAGCTGAGATTTCGGACTTAAATCTTCTGGCTCCCCATGTAGTTTTCTTTTCCTGTTATATACCATTCTTCCTGTTGGAAATTAGAAAAATAGAAAAATAACTTCCATCTTTTCAGTGAGGATCATTCATCAGCACTGCCCTGTTTATTTTAGTCACAATTTCAACACTTGTTTAACATGTTTGCATGATAAGAAAATGTTTTTTTTTTTAATTTATTTATTTTATTCATTTATTTGTGTGTGTGTGTGTGTGTGTGTGTGTGTGGCCAGCTCAGCCCACCAGGGGGCGGGGCTGGCTGGCATGTGGTGCTGGGGGATTGAACTGCGGTCCCTGTGCTTTGCTAAGCTTGTTCTAAGTAGGTGCTTCAGACCACTGAGCCATCTCACCAGCCCTAAGAAAATGTTTTAAGAAAATCCAGGATCATCAAATTAACCAAATTCTTTTTTTTCCCGTAATTTTATTGAGAAATAAATAGAACCAAATTCTTTATTCAGTGCTATTCCTTTAGTTTATATGAAGTTGGGTTTGGCTTATACTTCAGACTTAATTTCAGTTCCTACTTTCTACTTTCTCTTTAGAAAGTTGATATAAGGGGCTGGGGAGATGGCTCATTAGAATAAGCACTTGCCTGGCAAGCACAAGGGCCTGGGTTTAATCCCAGGTTCCATCCGCCAAAAAAAAAAAAAAGAAGAAGAAAGTTGATGTAATTTTATGGAATGCAATATTAGCTTATATCTGGGTTCTTTTTTTGCGGTACCAGGGATTGAACTCAGGACCCTGCACTTACTCTACTGAGCTATCTCTCCCACCTTCTGGGTCCTTCTTTTCCTGCCATCAATTTTCATTGGTGAAGTGTAACCTTAATATCTGAGTTTTTGCTCTTGTTTTTATTTTTTAAAAAGGTATTTCTGACAGGGATGCAGCTCAGTGGCACAGTGCCTGCCTGGCAAGTGCAAGCAAGGTCCTGAGTTCAATTCCCAGTACCAAAAAAGATACTTTTGCATGTGGATATAGCCTGAATGCCTGAGTATCTGAAGCCATTTGTAATGAACTTGATTTTTTTATGTACTTATTTTCCAGGTCAAGAGCAATCTGAATCCAAATGCAAAGGAGTTTGTTCCTGGGGTGAAGTACTAAAATATTTGAGTAGACGGGGCCCTCTTTTGGTGGATGTAGCACAATTTCCACACTGTGAAGGCAGTATTAGAAGACTTAATTGTAAAAGCTCTCTCGTCACTGTGTTACACTTATGCATTGCCAAAGTTTTTGTTAGTCTTGCATGCTTAATAAAAGTGCTGAGACTGTTACTAAGTAAAAAGCTGTCAAACATTTACTGAAAATATAATTGGGCTCATGGCTTAATGTAAAGACAGCAAGGAAAGAAGCACCAGTCAAGTTGTGACAAAGCACCAAATTAAACTCTAAATCTTACAAAATTGTCATCTTTGAGGTTAAACTCGTCCCTTAGGATTAACTAACACTTGTTAATGTCTACACTTTGTAGCAATGAGTAAATTTAAATACATTCCAGATTTCTCAGTTGCATTTGTCCTTAGCAATCCTCCCTCAAGGATATTCTGATGGAGGGCAGCCTCATCTCCATAGTTTGTTCAAGGCCAGTCTGAACTATAGATAGCAAGACCCTGTCTCCAAAAAATCCTTGCAGATTTTCCTGAAAATGTCTGTTAATTTGAAATAATTCTGTCTTTGGTGACTGAGGTAACAAGGTAATAACAAAGAGCTAGTCCTAGCTTTTCTGGTATATAATCATGTTAGAAATCCTGAATTTTTCTAATGATAAATTTGAAGAATATTTGAGAATTGTGGGTTCTGAGGATTCACCTCATCACAGCCATACTTGGGTGAAATATGTCTAATTTGGGACAAACACCAGCCTATAATCCAGTTGAACAAAGAGATTGTTACATGATTTGAATGGTGCTTTTCCTTGCTTTGTTAACCATCCTGACAGTAGTCTGCAGCACAACTTTTCTTTTTAACAAAGCTAGAACAGTTTTGGCTTCTTAAACTTCATATTTGAGTAGGTTAAGCTGCCATACGTGTTCAGTGTGAATAGTGTTTAAGTTGAAAATATTGTAAAAAAATTATATTTTTTCAAAAATATTTAAAAAAATAAAATAATAGTAGAACTGAACTGATGTCTGTTTATTGGCCCTGAACTACAGACTCTCCAGAAATAGCCACTAATGTACAGTACAACCCTGTGGGCACGCCATGCTGAGAAAGCAGGTTCATTGGAATCCATAGTAGCAAGTATGTTGCTCTGAACATATCTTTACATACTACACTAGTGAAATAAACCCAACCACCCTGTGCTAGCGTTTTGTTGCCTGAGACTGCAATGTGAGAGCAATTCCTAAAGTGTGTTAGGAAACTGGACGGGCCACTCATTAAGGTGTGTGTTACCAAGCCTGGCCCTTTTTTAAACTTTAGTTTTAAAGAAATAAAACAAATATATAAAATAAATAATATATAAATAATAAACTAATCATTGGAGGCTGGTTTTTTTGTTGGTACAGGGTCTCGTTAACACGGCTCAGACTCATAGTGATCCGCCTGTGTCAGTCTCCCCAGTGCTGAGATTACAGGTATGCACCACCACACAGAGCTTACTTTTTTTTTTTTAAAGGTAGGTTCTGGGAGGCCAGAACCTGCTTCCTCAGCCCTCTGTAGAAGAAGCGCTTCCCTGGCAAGCGCAAGGGCCTGAGTTCAATCCCTGGTTCCGTCAAAAAAAAGAAAGAAAGATAGGTTCTGGCTGTGTAGTTCACACTGACCTTGAACTCATTGTAGTCCAATCAGGCTTTAACCTTGAGATGATCCTCTTGCTCCAGCCTCCTGAGTGCTGGGATTATAGGCATGTGCCACCACTCCTGGCTTGGTACTAAAGTTTAAACCCAAGGCCTTAACACTGAGCTACCTCCTCAGCCCTTAATTTTTATTTTGAGATAATTAAGATTCCCAAAGTTGGCTCAAACTTAAAATCCTCCTGTTTCAGTCTCAGAGTGCTGAGAATACAGGTGTGCACCACCATGTCTGGTAATTGGTGGGTGGGTTTTTTTGTTTTAGATAGGGTCTCACTATGCAGCACAGGCTGGTTTTGATCTTGAAATGATCTCCTGCCTCAGTCTTTAAGTGCTAGGATTACAGGTGTGTGCCACCATGCCCCGCCTACAAATAGGTGGTTTTTGTTTTTGTTTTTGTTTTTAGGTGTGTTTTTAATAGTCCTAAAATAGTTATGCTTAGTTTTTTTTGTTTTGTTTTTTTTTTTTTTTTTTTTTTTTTTTTTTTTTTTTTTTAAGCCATGATTCAACCCTCAGTCCTCCCTCTGTTTTCTGGGAGCCCTAGATCACAAGTGGCATGTGCCAGCCATGGTTGAGCATATCTGTAATGCAGTAGGAGGCTGAGGCCATTGGACTGCTGACAGTTTGAGGAGCCTGAGCTACATACTGAGTTCAAGCCTAGTCAACTGCATAATAAAACCCTGTCTTGAGAGTGGCACAGCCAGCTGTCAAATATGACACAGGGTTTTTACCTCTGTATATGTGCTGCTAAAGTGAGCACATGGGTTTTTACCTCTGAACTAGGGCGAATAAGCTCATTTCCACATACTGCTGAATAATTGCAATGAGAATAATACCACAAATTAGGCCCCATAATCTAATGATTGAGAGTGAGAATTCTAGCTAGAGTTCTTAGATGTGATTCTTGTGATCATGAGCAAGTCAGTAAAACTTGCTGTGCCATCATCTGCACATATCTAAAATGCTGGTAGGACATGGCTTTTTTTTTTTTTTTTTGTGGCAGAACCAGGGACTGAACTCTGGTCCTTCCACTTGCCAGGCAAGCGCTTACCTACTGAGCCATCTCCCTGGCCCCAGACATGGCTTTCAGAGTGTTTCGTTTATTTTGCAGTACAGGGCTTCACACGTGCTAGGCAAACTGGGTGACTATACCATGTAGCATTTTAGATTTCTAACGAGGCTTTTCACCAGATGGGTCTCTACAAATATTCTAGAATCTGGCAAAGATTTCTGAATTTTTCAGTAAGGGATATTCAGGCTATAATAAGAGTTATTTAGCTCCAGATTGTGTGATTATTACTATACATCACTCAAGTCACTCGACACAAAGAATGTCGTAAGTAATTGTTCTTGTTATTAAAAATGTCTAGGGCTGGGGGCAATGTCATCTTAGTGGGACATGTGCTTTACATGTAGGAGGTCCCAACTTCAGTCCTATCACCATTAGAGAAGAAAAACTTTGGCCATCATGGTGTACAAATAATCCCAGCTACTCAGCTAAAGTAGAAGGATCACAAGTTCAAGCCCAGACCTTGTCTGAATTTTTAAATTCAGAAAGCTGGAGGTGTTGTTCCACAATCTCTTGGTTCAATCTCCAGTGCTTAAAATATTTCTTAGAACTTTTGGTCCACCTAGAAGAACATGCACATTGAAACCCTTAAGTGTTTAGAGTACTCTGCATCCTGTATTCCTGGTGGATATGTAAGAGTTCACTGTCACCACACATCTGAAGCCCTACAAGGAAGTTCATCTCTAGCTAGGTTTGTACTGGCATAGTTTTGTGGTTGCCAAAATCATTCTACTTTAGAGAACTTAATTTTATGCCCTGAATTGAAATAAGCATGTAGGAGAGGATTTTTCCATTTTGCTATGTCAGGATTTGTTGGATTTTTCCATGTCAAATGTCAGGTATTTGTTCAGCTGCTGGAATGTCCATGACTAGCTGGTGGACTGTAGTTGCCTAGATTGTATCCAGGTGTTTGGGAAAACCAGTATCTCAGAAGTGTAACAATTTAGTGGTCAATGCAAGTTGGGAAAGTTCCTAATTATAAAATGACTAAGGAATTCCACTTAGAATTCATATTTTGACTTTACCCAGTCCATCTTCCCCTTAAGGACACCCAAAGAGGTCACAAAAATGAAGCAGTGGGGCCAGGGAGTTGGCTCAGTGGAATAAGCGCTTCCCTGGCAAGCACAAGGGCCTGAGTTCAGTCCCTGGTTCCGCCAAAAAAAAAAGCAGTAGTTTGGGTTTTTTCTTGTTGAGACAATGTTCTGATTATTCAGCCATCCCACAAAAGTCAGCAGCACATCCTACCTTTCTTGGAACTTTTCAGACCTTGGTGCACACAGACGCAGCTTCTCTATTTTCAGGAGTGTCTTCTAGAACTGGTGGCTGGTTTTTTAACTTCAGAGAGAATCCTTTGAAGACTGGGCAGATGGGGATGTATTTCAGAAAGGCAATCTTTTTGACTGTGTCCATCCCAATGGGGAAGTCATAACTCTTTAGGCTGGCAGACGTCTCACTGTTGGCATGGGCTCCAGCTTTCCATTGTATCAGGCCTCGTTCCTCAGGACTCCCTGGAAGAGGGCAGTAGGGTCATTTACCAAGACAAGCAAGTCTTACTACCTCCTGGTCCTAGGTCAGACTTTGATAATTTTAAATTTTTCTCTGGTGGTAGAGGTTGAACCCAGGACTTCACAAAGCCAAGGTATGTGCTGTGTCACTGAACTGAACCCATATCCTTGAAGTGTCAGACCTGGGTGTGGTGGTGCGAGCTTGTAATCCTATTATTAGCTGAGGCAGGAGAATTGCAAATTATTTTATTCTATTTTTGAGATGGTCTCACTATGCAGTTTGGGCCAGCCTTGTGCTCACTTTAGTAGTCCCCAAGCTGGTCTCAAACTCGCAGAGATCCTCCTGGCTCAACCTCCTGACTGCTGGAATTATAGGTGTGCACCACCATACCTGGTTCCAGGCGGCACAGTCTGCACCTGTGTCCGGGGCTGAGGGGGCTGAGACCACATGGCATGTGTGGCTGGGGATTGAACTCCGGTCTTTGTGCTTGCCAGCTAGGTGCTTATGCCTCAGAGCCATCTCCGACCCACAAATTTTAGTTAAGCCTAGACAACTTGATAAAACTGTATAAAAAAATTAAAAACAGCTGGAAGTGTAGTTCAGTGTAAGGCCTACATTCAATCAAAAGGGTGACTTTTCTGCAAGTTAAGAGCTAGTGAAAGCTTTGCAGGCCCCTGGTTAAGAACTGGGTTCTATGCCAGCCAGCCCTGGGTTTGAATGCAGGTTGTCTGAACCCAGGCAAGAAACTTGACAACTCTGAGCCTCGTGTCCTTCCTCAAAGCAGATTAAAGGGCTACTAAAGATTATGTGGCAGGGGCTGGTGAGATGGCTCAGTGGTCTAAAGCACCTACTTAGAACAAGCTTTAGCAAAACCCAGGGACCACAGTTCGATCCCCCAGCACCACATGCCAGCCAGCCCGCCCCCTGGTGGGCTGAGCTGGCCACACACACACAAATAAAATTAAAAAAAAAAAAGATTATGTGGCATAACACAGATGACTGCTGAAGCTCAGTTGTGTTGGAGGTTAGTGACATGAAGGATTCGGCCAGGTGCTTTGAGGTGATTGCACAGCTGCCCACTCAGAAGTCCTTTATCTCCTTAGGTTTTCTAGGCATTGAAGCTGCCGTGTCACTCAGAACTACAAGCTGTTCCAGCCTGTTTCTCTAAATGGGGAGGATAACTGTCATGGTTGAGTTGCTACCCACCCAAGAGATAGCTACACTGCCGAGATGCTATCATCCAACCCTGACATGACACACACCTGTAATCCCAATCCTTTGAGGATGAGACAGGAAAATCAAGAGTTTAAGTCCAGTTTGGAAAACTTAAGTGACTTGGTGAGACCCTGATGTTGGACTCCGAGGCCCTGGGTTCTGTCAGTTCCTCCACAAGCAAAATACAGCTTTGGCACAGCACACACCTGTAATTCCAGCACTCAAAGACTGAGGCAGGAAGATTGCTGAGTTTAGGCTAGTATGAGCTACATAGTGAGTTTAAAAGCAGCCTGGACTGCATAGCAAAACCCTGTCTTAAAAAAAGGGGGGGGGGCTGGTGAAATGGCTCAGTGATCTAAAGCACCTACTTAGAACAAGCTTAGCTAAAGTACAGGGACTGTGGTTCAATCCTCCAGTACCACATGCCTGACAGCCCCGCCCCCTGGTGGGCGGACCTGGACACACACACACACACACACACACACACACAAATAAAAATTTAAAAAAATTTTTTTAAAAATCACCTTATTCTGCCTCGAATCTCCTCAGGAGCCTTGGGCCCTGTTCTCTAGCCCACGTCTGAACACAGGCCCTGATTGCTATTCTGTGCCAGCCTGAACCCTCAGAGCTTCAGAGACAGGCAGGACCTGTGATTTTGTTTGAGGTGCTAAGCCACTAGGAATAGAGGACCACCAACCCTGGTGTTCTATTCCCTCTGCCCCTATGCAGATGCAGTCATTAGCTCATCCTCATGAAGCTTTCCCAGCCTGCAGCCAAGATGCCCTAGAACTGTCCAGCAGAGGCAGTGTGGTACTATGGCTGGCACATAGCCAGGGATTGTGTTAGACATTAACATAAAGATTAGTACTCTCATGGCTCAGTGGTCTAAAGCACCTATTTAAAACAAGCTTAGCAAAGCACAGGGACTGCGGTTCAATCCCCCAGCACCACATGCCAGCCAGCCCCCGCCCCCTGGTGGGCTGAGCTGAGCTGGCCACACACACACACACACACACACACACACACACACGCATAAATA